GGCAACATGTCGCGGAAAGCCTGGGGGCACCTTGGGCCAGTGCAACCTCCTCAGACCTCCGACGGCTTGATTTTTCCCGCACCGTGCGGAAGTGGAGATCTAGAGCGCTTCCCCGGAACCAGCTTTTCATCGCGAGCCGTTTTTTGACGGCCCGGGGCCTGGGGATGCTGGAAATGGCCCAAATCCTGCCGCAATGATTTGTCACAGCGAGAGGAGGACGAGGACAAGGACCAGTGTATTCCCAAGATGCATCAACGATGTCGCAATAATCACTCCCTCCAAGTTTCCCCTTCACAGGTTCCTACAATAATGTTTTTTTTGACTGCGGGATGTGGCCGATTGGAAAACAACCATGAACGCTCAGTCGTACCATTACACACTTCCTGTTCTTGGGACTTCAGCGCGGCGGATCAGCGTCACTGTTGCGTCCTGGTAATCCTAGATCGTGCCAGCACGCTGCTCCTGGGACTTGCACACCGCGGATCGACGTGATTTTTGCGTCCTGACAGTGCTAAATCGTACCAGAGCACCATTCCTGGTACCTCAGCCATACGATCCCTTCAATCAGTTGCGAACTTTTTGAACTAATGTGCGTGGCGCTACGGCGAGATCGCCTTTTTGAACATGAGCCGCTCTCCATTTGCAAATTTGTAAGACGAGTGTGCGTGGCGCTAAGACGAGAGCAACATTTCGAGAACTATCCACCCGTGAAACTGTTGCAACCTTTACGACGAATGTGCGCGGCGCGTAGGCGAGAGCCACATTTCGAAAACGAGCCGCCCTCCATCTTTGGAATCGCTGCATAAGACGAGTGTGCGCGGCGCTAAGGCGAGAGTCACAATTTGAAAAGGCCCCGCCCTCAATTTGTGAAAGTGTTGCACCCTCTTTGGACGAATGTGCGCGGCGCTGAGGCGAGAGCGACATTTCGAGAAGGTGCATTCTTCTCAGACGAGTGTCCGCTGCACTAAGGCGAGAGCCACATATTGGAAACGACCCGCCCTCCGTCTGTGAAGCGGTTGCGCAATTCAATCTTCGGGATCACAAGCGGTGAGGAAGTCTCTGGCGAACCGCCCTGCCCGCCCTACCGACACGCCTGGGGGTGCGACAGGGAGGAGTTATTTTGAAGGCCTTACGCCTTGACGACGACGACGCTGCCGCTCTGGAGCCGAAAACTTCTCCCAGGGAGGGGTGCTCCCCTCCCAGGGGGGAGGAGCCGAAAGCTTCTCCCATGGAGGGGCGCTCCCCCCCCAGGGGGGGGGGTCACTCACTAGGGAGGCAACATCAAACCTGTAAAGCGTACCCACCCAAAGTGAGCCAGTAAACCGTACCCACGTGTGGAGTGTCGCCCATTGATACATCATATGTAGAGCGACTGATTGCTTACCTGCGTTTCATCATCTTTGTGGGTAGACGGGAGCTCTAGTTGTCCGTCCATCTGGCTTTTCGTTGGGGGGTGGTGGGCTTCCCCTTCCTTTTGAAGAGAAGCGGCTGACAGAGGGCGGAGTCGGACATCCTACAACACTATCGCTCGACAGCTCCTATCGACACTCTTGGAATCCAGCCATGGCTTGGACGCTAGCTGTGTGCCCACGTATCCATATCGCGCGCGGCTGTGAGTGCAACGCGTACCTTCTTTTTCATCCTCTCTCCGTCTCTGCATCCCTCCGCCCTTCAGTCCCTCCCTCCCTCCCTCCGTCAGCCCTCCCTCCTTCCCCCTTCCCCTCGCTTCTTTCTCATCCCCCGCCCCTCTCTCCTCACTCGCCCCTCTTTCTCCTGTCTCCTCCCTCCCTCCCTCTTCCTTCCTCCTTCCTCCTTCCGCACTCCCTGTTCCCCCCTCCTCTCTCCTTGCATCATTCTGTTCTCACTGATATCCCTCTCCTCCCGTCCCTCTCCCCCTTCCGTTCCCTTCGCCATTTCTCCCTCTTCCTCGTCCCCTCTTCCGTCCTCCCTCCGTCCTTCCAGAGTCCGACTCCGCCCCTCACCCCCCCCCATTCTTCGTCCCTGGGTGTCTGGGGCTGTGTCTCTGGAGCTGCTTCGGGGGCCCGCGTCCTGGCATGCTTAGGGGGCTCGGGGTCCTCCTCGGGGTCCGCGTGACCTGGAGGCAGGGCCCCTGCGGAAGGGGGCCTGAATTCCCCTCCGTGCGGAACAGTGTTCCGCGCTCGACGGAACACTGTTCCGGGGCGCTTGTGTTGGAGGCCGGACAGGCCAGGAAAGCGTACCCGCGACCCTGGGCAGCGAGCAGACCAGTAAAGCGTACCCAGGGGACGCTATTTCTCTGGGCGGGGAACAGACCAGTAAAGCGTACCCACCCGGGCCTCGGCTCGCTGAAAGGACGGTTGCAGGGATCCCGCCCCCCATGGGCGGCGATCAAGCCAGGAAATCGTACCCACCCCAGTCTGGGCGGGGAACAGGCCAGGAAAGCGTACCCACCAGGGTCTGGGCGGCGAACAGACCAGTAAAGCGTACCCCCCAATTCAGCCGGCGGGCAAGTATTCCGCGAGTCCAGGAACGCTGTTCCGGGACTCGCGGGGACGGGTTCCGCGGCGCGGGAGGAGCTCTGGGACGTGGCCCCAGGGAAGCAGGCACTCGCCTGGAGCCCTGTGGGGTTCTCTTCCACCGAGGCAACGGCCCTCGGGCTCCAGGGGACGAACCTGTGGGAGGGGCTGGCGAGGAGGCCTTCAGGAATCCCCCGAAGGCGCCGTAGGAGACCGCAGAGCCACCAGGTCGGCCCAAGACCCGATGGCATTGCTTGTGTCTTGGGGCTCCAGGACCAGGTGCGGCCCACGACCGCGTCGTGGGGGCCGAAAACCAACTCTGCCCCCGAGCCGTCTTCGAGACCCAAGGTGCTCGACGAAACTGGCGTGGAGCGCGTGCTCACGGACGAGGGCGCCGCCAAGGCTGGCAGGCACATGCGGATCGGTTCAGCATCGTTGTGAAGACGTCGAAGGATAATATAATATATTGGTTCGCTTCCCAATGTGTTTGGTGTCAGCCGCTGGTGCATTGAGCAAAAATGGCCCCTTCGCGCGCGTGTTTGCCCCTTTGCGCGTTGGGTTTGCGCGGGTGTCAGAAAACGTCAACAGAAGTGCACTTGTGCTTGCGCAGTGTAATATTTCTGAGTGAGACTCACACGCGTGTTCTAGCGTTTACAAGTTGGCACGCACGCTGCAAAGAATCTGTGCCGCGTGTTTCGGTGGCCCCTGGGGCCGCGCCACGGGGTTGAGCGAATTGACATAGCCCCCCTGCGTGACTGGCGACCGTGCGTGAGTAGGTCCATGAAACGGTACGCACATAATACTGCGCGGAATAGCATTCCAAAAAATGCGGAACACCTTCCCGAACTGTGGAAGGTGGGTGCGCTTTGCGGTGGGTACGCTTTACAGGTCCCTTGCCCCCGCCCAACTCACGACCCCCCAGGGCCCCCCCCCAGCGGCGGGGGGGGCTCGAAGGGAGGAGGCTTCCCCTCGACTCGACTGCGCCGTTGCTCGATTGCCTTCTGGCTGCCACGCTTGGGGGGGGCAGCGACGACGACGACGACGACGACTCCAATGGGAAAGCTCCTCACACACACCGACGGTCGGCGGAGCCCGCCCTACTGCCGCGTCCGGGGGCGCGACAGGGAGGAGTGATTGATAAGGGGAATGGAGGGCGGGAGGGAGGGAGGGGGGAGGCGGAACAGGAGGACCAGGGTAAACCCAAGACTCATCAACGATGCTGGAATACATCCTCCCTCCAAGCTTCCTCTTCGCAGGCCCGTACAAGGATTCATTTCCACTGAGGAAAGGGCCCCGTTGGGGGATAGCCGTGTGAAAACCAGAAAGCGTGCCAAAACACAATTCTCAGGATTTCAACGCCACGAGTTAACCCGACTGTTGCGTCTTGACGTTCCTGAATCGCGCGAGATCATTATTCCTGGGCCTTCAGCGCAGCGAATCAACGCAACAGTTGTGCCCTGGCTGTCCTTAATCGTTCAAAAACATGGTTTCTGGTACATTAGTCATGAAAACCAGTGGGCTCTAGCAAATTGTTAAAACGAATGTGCGCGGCGCTAAGGCGAGAGCCACATATTGAAACGGAGCCGCCCTCAACCCGTGAAGCTCTTGCAACATTTAAGAAATAATATGCGCGGCGTTAGTGCGAGAGCCAACTTGTGAAAACCGACCGCCATCACTTCGTGAAACTCGTGCAATTTGTGCGCGACGCTAGGGCGAGAGCAACATTTCGAGAACCACCTGTCCTCAATCTGTGAAGCTCTGGCATTTTTTCCAACGAATGTGCGCGGCGCCAAGGCGAGAGCGCAACATTTTGGAAGCGACCCGCCCTCCGTTTGTGAAACAGTTGCCAGTTTTTACGCCTGAGGCTCGTACGTGGTAAGGAATTCTCAGGCGAAATGCTTGGCCTGCCCGTCATGGCTTCGGGGTGCGACAGGGAGGAGTCATTCACAAGGAAACGGAGTGGAGGAGGAGGAGGAGGAGGAGGAGGAGGAGGAGGAGGAGGAGGATGTGGAGGGAGGAGGAGGAGGAGCAGGAGGAGGAGGAGGAGGAGGAAGAGGAGGAGGGTCCGGCAGCCCCCGAGCGACCCTGAAATCCGGCGTCGCCAAGAAGGTGAAGCGTGGCCGAACACCGCGGCCAGCACCCCGGACCCCATCCCTTCTGCGGCCATTCTTTCCGAGCTGGCCTGATCTCTGCTGCCGATCACACGCAAGAGTGACCCTTCGCCGGAGTGGCCTTTGGTGCGGGCTCATTGGGGTCTCCCGATCGCCGGACCCGATGCGACAGCAGCGTCTTGCGCGCTTGCGTTCGGTCCCCCGCGGCCTCCCCACAAAGCTGCGCACCAAGGGTCACTCTTTCGGGGGTGGACATGAACCCCCAACAGTGACACGTCGATTAGTGAATTGTCCGTTTTCGGTTTTCGAGAGGGCGCCGTGGCCGTTATTTTCCAGGCTTGCGCCCGCCAGGTTTGGGCCCGAAGTCGTTTGCACTAAACCACGTTTTGCTAAAGGGAGGTCTGTCCATCCCCGACTCTTGCCCAGGGCCGCTCTGGCGTGCAGCCGATATGCTGGCCCCCAAGGGGGCCCGACGCCGGGACCAAAGACGCCCGGCGTGGGAAGGAAGGCCTGCGCCGCCCGGCGCTCGGCGGAGAGGTGCCCGGCGGCGCCGCCTGGCTGCACCCGGTCTGCATCTCGGGTCGGGCGAAAGGGGGGGTTTGGGAAAGGGGGGGTTACGGTAGGATTGCGTCGCCCTAACCCCGCCCCCCCTCTTCCGCCCCATGTCGAAACGCTGCATAAGAAGACGTCCGCCATCGCCGACCGGGGGATCCCGGGGACAGCGCGGGGGTCGTCGTGCTCGTCGTCCTCCTCCCGTCGCCTCCGACTGGGGGGCCCGGCCCCCCGCCTAATTGCGGTAGGTTTGCGTCGTGTCGACCAGCGGCGACCCCAGCGCGGGCGTTCAAGGTTGAACGCCGCCGGCGACCCAGAATCGATCGATGTTGAACGATCGGACGTTGCGGCAGCGGCCGATCGTTCAAGGTTGAACGATCCTTGCGGTGTCAAAAACCAACGCTGGGGTCGGCACGACACGAACCTGCCGTACGAAATCTGCTGCATGCAGCTGGTTTCGGCCTCACCGAGGGGCCCATTCCTCGACACACGGGCGCCTCCTGGCGCCGGGAGGCGCTGGGAGAATCAGCTGCGTGAGCTGATTCTCAAGCCCCCCCTTTGCTATCCCCCCCTTTCGCCCGACCCGAGCATCGGCCAGGGCGAGGCCTACCCCGCGCTGCTCGCGTCGGCGCGCGCGCAGGCGCGGGCCGCGCGCGCGCGCGGGCTGCCGGTGCACTTCGTGGAGAGCGCGGTCTTCTCGCCGACCCTGCTGCGGCGGGTGGCCGACGAGATCGAGGAGTGGGAGGTGCCGGTCTCGGTGTCAGAACTCATTCGGGGGCGGAGACGAGGGGGGTGATGACTAGCGGGGGGTGGATATCATGGCGGGGGCCATGATATTTCCCCAGATTTCTTGGCGCCTCTTCTTATTTCATTACGTCCCTGGCCCCCCGCTGGGCCGCGCACATGCCGCCGTTCATGATTTGCACCCCCCCCTCTTGGACACCCCCCTCTTGGCCGCTCCCGACTCATGGGTCGGGAGCCTCGAGACGGGGGTCAGTGCAAACTCGGGTCAGCCAGGGCGCCCGATCTTGCAGGATCCTGCGGGGCCAGGGTCGCATGGACCCGGGTCTGGGTGCAGGATCCTGCAGGATCCTGCAGGATCCTCCGCATTGGCCCGGGTTTGGGTGCAGCATCTTGCAGGATTTTGCAGGATCCTGCAAGGCCTGACTGACCCAGGTCTGGATTGAGCCGGGTCAGAAGATCTCCCAATGGGATGTGGCTATGTCCTCGCAGTCGCGTCGTTACGGTACACGAGCGTGCGCTAGCTTTCGGTCGTCGATGAGGAAGCGCCCCGATTCAGCGCCGATTCAGCGTCGACGGGCGTCGATTCGCAACAGCCAGCAGGATGGTGTGGGAGGCTCCCAGGAGCTGCCGCAGAAGTCGGGGGCCCGCCAGCGCCGTGGGGTGCAGACCGCCAGCGGATACCTCGAGGGCCCCCCAACCTTCGAGCCTGGTCTCTTCGCCTTCGAGCCTGGTCTCTTCGCCTGGTCTCGTGTTCCTCAGGAGTAGGACGCGTCCAAGTAATAACAAGAACCCCATCTTAGGATATGGGAGGCCCAGAGCCCAGGAACAGCTTTTCGCCCGGTCTCGTGTTCCTGGGCTCTGGGCCTCCCAGATGGGGTCGGAGCAAAAAGGGTCGAAGGATCGCGCCGCATCGCCGATGCATCGGCGATGCGGCTCGATGCGGAGCCTGATCTGCTTCACGCCGACGTCGCCGATGCATCGCCGACGTCGGCAATGCGTCGCCGTTGCATCGCCGATGCATTGCCGATGCATCGACGATGCATCGCCGATGTACTGGCGGTGCGGCGCGATCCTCCGACCCCACCTACTCGGACCCCGTCTAGGAGGCCTTTATGGGCCCCCAGGGCAATCCGGCGCGAGGAGCGGCGCAGAAAGAGGGGGGTCCGGGGGCCCGGTCGTGATTACCTTTCACGACGCCGCACCGCTCTCGCTGCGTCGGGTCCCGAAGACGGGGCGGTGGCCACGCCGCGTGGACTTTCGTCGGTGTCCTGCGGGTGGTCCTGCGTCGGGTTGTGGTGTTCCGGCCTGCTTCGGCCACGAGCGCCAGGAAGAGTTTCGAGCACCTCCTCAGGAGGTGCCGAAACTGGAGGGCCTGCGCGCGTCGGGCCCTGGGGAGGCGATACGCGCCTCGACACCGTCGCGATGCTTTTCGGGGTGCTCGAGGTCATGTCTGGGATGTGGTCCTCAAGTAGGGGGCCACATGCGAACCCTACCCCTGCCCCCCACGATTTCTGAGGGGTGGGCGGGGTTCACTTCGCTCGGGAGCTCCTGAACGGAGTGAACCCCCCCCTCCCCCCTCAGAAATCGTGGGGGGCAGG